TTAAGCCTGAATGTATCACGGATACATGACAAGGGTCTGCTTCAGCGCAGGCCTCGGATGGGTGGCCTCTTTCACGGATGTGGCTCCTCACAGGTTGCCAGAGCAAGTGCCACTGCAAAGACCTATTTGCTTTAAAGTGCATCAGCTGGCCTTTGTGAAACCCACTGCAGCTTTTGGAGTCTGACCTCATGGCTTCTTCCCAGCTGTTGGTGTCTTCAGTGTTGTGTCACCTGGAGCACCTGGTTCACAAAAACAACAAAAATAAAAAATATTAGGAAGAGGTAGACGTATTCATATCTATTTTCTCTTGTGGCAACACAGACCTTTCATTTCAAGGTATGCCCACACCTGATTTAATGGAGCAGTCTGGTTCTCTCTGAGCGAGGGAGAAAGAAACAGGAGACCTGTGAGTCTGTTCCGCTGCTTATCTTACTCTATTCACTGTTGTAAACTCCAGTGCTGAAATATTCAAGCATGGACTCAAAAACAAGGTGGCAGGGAAGAGACACAGGTCCTTTCTGCTGGCCTAAAGCTCCTGATTTCAGAAAGGGGGAAAATTAGTCTGAATCATATGCAGAAGCAGCCAGTTTTGGAAGAAAATAAAAGAGAGGCCATCAAAAATCAGTTAAACTCTGAAAAATGTGCTTTAATGTGTTTGGTTGTTCTGCTTTTTAATAAAACATCTGAAGTCATTCAGGAAAGGCTCAGGAAAAAGCCCTTTTTGAGTGCTGAAGATCGGGATGAAGCAGGGCTGGCAGCCATCTTTCCTTGATGGGAAAAGCGAGGTTTGTAAATGAAACGTCAACACCGTGCGAGACCCAAACGCCTCAGTGCAATAAGAGGAGGAAAGCAGCAAGGCAGAGTGTGATATTCTGAGCCACGCTAAGGCATGAGTCATCGCAGGGTGGGCTCGCACAGCTCCAGCCAGACACGCAGCAGCAACACACCCAGCTTTATCCTGCACCAGAGAAAAACCACTTGGCCTCAGCACAGCCCGCTGGAACCATCAGGATAAGACCCCCGGCAAACCAGACATCATAAAGGTTTTTGCCTACACTTATCAATTGGAAACACACCCTAACAGCACCTATCTCCCAAATCCATGCTATAATACTCAGTTGATGCAGTAAAGCCTGCTCATGATTAGCTATAAGCTGGACTGTGTTAGGAATTGCCTCTGAAATTTATCCCTACAAACAGGAAATTCTTTCGCCTCCTGCTGAGGTTCAGTAGCAGCAGGTGGGAGCGCACAGGCCCAGGACAGAGCATTTGCAGCTGTAACCTTCTGCAGAGCTTGTTGCGTAAGGACAGAGGCTGCCATCTACCAACAGCCATGGGGTGATGCATCGTGTTGTCTAAACTGAACTTTTTGCTTTGGTTGAGATAAAAATGTTGATGTCTCTGTTGTTTCTTTCCATTTCCAAACCTTCCCCCCCCACCTTCAGTTATGTATTTCTTCAAGGTAGAGGACAAATGATTGTCAAAGCATTAAAGCACATGGAATTAAATGACCTTCTAGAAGATGAGCAGATTTTATTTTTTAAACAAGCAGACATATGCATCCCGTAGCCTGCACAAAATCTGCCTTTCAATGACGCACGACAGCAGGAGATCTGATCTGGGAGCTGCCTGTCCCTTTCATCGAGTTTAGAGAGAAGCAGCTACCTTTTCACTAATATTTTGTAGTGTTAATGATGGTTTTTCAAAGCACTCTTTTAAAACTAACTCTTACAAAACGATAATGGTAACAATACACAAGTATTACACAAGATACAGTTTTTATCAAAAGAGCTCAAACTTTTTCACCAGAAAGGCATATTTCATTATTCCCAGATAGGAAAAAGAGGCACAAAGTGAGATCAGGCAGATAAAAACACATATCAAAAATAAAATACACATCTCTCATCATCCATTCAAGTGCACTGCTCTGCACCTTGTAACAATACAAACATCCCCCTAAAGCCTACTGAGATCCCTAGAGAGTCTTTCACCAACTTCAGATGTCTCAATTTAAATCAGGCTTAAAAATTCTAATCCTTCGCAGGTGAACGTGTCCATGCACTGCTGAGCTTGTGCTGCACCAGTATGAACCAGTAGACCCTCACTGCAGAATGATATGTGAGACTGGGGCCTGTCCCACCACACAACGGCCTGTGGGAGACAGCAAAGCAGACAACCAGCAAGATTTGGAGAAAGCCGTGCATATGGTACCACTTGATAGATTTATTTTGA